GAGAGAGGGAAGTCTGGGCATCTTTGCTTAGACTGCTGCCCCCGCGACCTGGTCCCGGATAAGCGGAGGAAAATGGATGGATGGATGGATGGGCTTTGCAGTTTTAATAACACTTTTATGAATTTGTTTTATTCTGTTTTACTGAATCTATTTTTACCTTTTCTTTTATTCGGTGGTATGGGTCACTTACTGAAAAGAATAAGAACAGATGCATAGAAAGGCGCTATGCCAGTATAAGTCCATGTACTGACTCTAGCTCCATGCTTAAGGCATCTTCTTAGAAGAATGGAAATACACTCAAAATGTCTAACTATACTTTAAAACAATAGTCACATGTCATATGTTCACTAAGAGTTTTTGGTTGTTGTATACATGCCTTTTATCCATAGTGGAAGTGAAGACATCTTTTAAAGTGACAACACTATGAAAACAGGGAACCAAATCCAGCTCTCACGCTTACAAAATAGCTTTTTCATTATGTGGATGAGGCCTATGTGCGGCCTACAGTGTGTTAGCCAGGTGCAAGTGAATATCTCTTTGTGTGAAGTTTGTTCATTTTGTTTTCCTAGAGAGTGTGTCCTTGCTAAGCTAACAGACTAAAGATACCAACTGGATTTGACTAACTCAGACTGCTAAACTCTCATATCATCTTTGGATTAACTACTCTATGTATGCACAGAAGAAGAACTGCAGATCTCATCCCTTATTTTTAGGTCTTGATGGCACAGGACCAGTACAATCAGAAGCAATAATTACAATGAAGAAATAACTTGCACACTGTACATTCAACTTGTCATGTGTCCTTAAAGCAACAAGGCCTGCAAAGGGGAGTATGTAGTAGAAAATGGGGGAATAATATACACAACATGTGGGAAAAGAAAAAAGTCCTGCAAGACAGAAAAAAGAATTTGAAGAAGACTGACATTTGGAAGGAGATGAAAAAGAGAGAACAAAGTGAGAGATGCTAAAGAGGGGAGGAGGACATGTCTCCGGCTCTAGTTTGCAATCTTTGAGGGCTGGATAACATCTTTAATATTTGATAACACGCTTTCCCAGGTATTGCAAACACTTCTACCAATAAGAAGCAGAGAGAAATATGGCAATGTATACCACACACACAACATCTCTGACCAAGACATCTCAAGGTGATCTTAATCTCTTATGATTTCCACCCGAACATCCATTGAACTCCAAGTTCCAATTTCAAAACTCTGATAGGAGGAAGTGATGTGCATATAATGCTTGTTGCCCCTAACATTAATATAAAGGGTAACCTGATCAGAGAACTGAACTTATTGACATGTTGAGAGAAAGACACCCTGCATGATTAATAAAGTCTTAAAAGTACTCAACCAAGAAAATAATTTTTCAAATCATCAGGCAGGTGATGAAATAAGATCAGAGTGATTTTGGTTTTGAGCGTATTAATCCTTTTAGTTTTGGTGATTATCAGCTCTGACTGTTTTTAATTATATTTCACAATGACATTTTCAACACATTAACTGTGACTGTGAATGCTGTAAACAAGGTATTTCATTAAAGCCAAAACTGCAAAAACCTTGAGAGTAATCTCACATCTGCATCTGCGCAGTGCAAAAGGCTACACTGACATTTTGTATCCCTGTGCTGTAGCCAGGGAACTGGGAACTCTAATATGACCTGAAACCTAATAAAGTGGGAAAAAAAACCTTGAAGATTTGAAAACTGTTTAAAAAATGATATGTATTTTCCCTGGGATTTATTTTACTTACAGATAATGATAAAAAACGAATATTCTGCCCTCTGATTCAAAAGAGTAAATCTGCCAGCATATCACTTAAAATCCAAAGTGATTGTATTAGAGTTGCTGTGGAGCTGATATAATCAAAACCCTTAAAGTGACACAAGCAGCAGCTAATGTGTTTTAAAGCTAAAAGTCTCACGTGCATATCAAGAGAACTGTGTGAAGCAAACCAGGCTTTAAGATTCCCACTGTTCTCCCAGTTTCTGTGTGGGGGAGGTTTTTTTTTTTTGCACAGTTGGTTAACAAAATAGAATAGCAAGCATTAAGAAGCTATTTAAGAAAACATTCCACCTTACACCTCCTCTGTCACCCTTTTCTGCTTTTTCTGGGTAGTGACAAGTTGCAAGATGCTGTGTCATTTCGTGACGAGGTTGCTGACTGCTGAGGGATTAGCGATGTAAGATGTGGTATATGTGACTTTGTGAGGCTGGTTTGTTTAGCTCTCTGCACTGAGAAGCAGCACAAGGTTGGCTCGGTTAAAGTTAGATATGAAAAGAAGCAAAGAGGAAAGGCACTGCTTTAATTCCTTCCATAGTGCAATTAGATACATTTTCTCTAACTGTGTCCCCCACATGAGATAAAGCTAGGCCATTAGCAGTTTAAGCTGTTCTATTAAAAGGCTGCAGTGTCAGTACTAATTTACGTGTTAGACCCATCTCTTTCTCTTGCACAGTTTGTCCTGTCTTCAGAATCATCCACTCCTCCTCATAAGCCCATTATAAACCTGCTTTTCCTAACTGGAGTTGCTCACTGGCAGCCACAGCACAATTCTGACTCACCAATGAGCCATCACTGTTTACTGGGATTCTTGTAGGGCTGTGAGAGATGAAAGTACACAACTCCGCTGAGAAAGGAGAGAGGACGTGGAGAACAGACCAGACAAGCACAGACAGGCAACAGTACTTGAGCAAAGAAAGCAGAATTATGCATGTTATTATTTTATTCAGGACTTATCTGTACTTATGTACCGGCTCAGCTCTTACTGAGTCCATTAGCAAGAAACCCATTGTTCAACATTTAGCATAAGAGCAACAGCTATTTCATATAATTGATAAAGATACTGTAAAAGTACACATTGAAAATGCCACAGAAAGAAGAGAATCCTACAGTGAGGACCTCATTATTTTTTTGTAAAACTGAGTTAATGAGCCCAGTTTTACAAAAATAATGAGTCCTTACTAGCCTGTTTCTGAGGGGCAAAGCTCAAGATGTGACTGGCAGCCGCACTGATTAGGAGAGCTCACAGTCCCCTTGTACACTGATTTGTACCTACTGAAAGAACAGCCAAAAATACAGTACATGAAAAGACCCAGAGTCTGTAGAGCCAGGTCCACTGGCATCTGTAACTTAATGGGTTTTCCCCAGATATTTCTCAAAAACCTGAAACATGTTCCTTTGGTTTACTGTCTATTTTCATCTTAAATGCATGTGAGACAAAAGGAAGACAGGTTTTCAACATTCTGGATAAATGACTCATTTGGATAAGGATAATCACCTTGTTGAGGTGATTTGTTGAGACTTAGAGGATGTAAGTACCATGGTCAGGCCTGTAGCCTACCTGAGATATGAAGAGCCCGTAAGCAATTAGCTTGGCTTAGCATAAGAACGGAAAACAAATGAAAATAACTAGTCTGGCTCTCTTACGTTTAACTACTTTTTATGCTTATAATTTGAATTAGTGCCGAGTTGCTTGTAAAATTTACACCAAAGATCAATAAATCTTATGATTATACTGTGTTTTGTTAAAGTTAACAAATAAATGTAGTGAGTACAAAGTATAATAGTTTTCACTGAAATGTAGTGAAGTCAAAGTATGAAGCAGCAGAAAATGAAAATACTCAAGTAAAGTACAGGTACCTCAAAATTGTGCATTACTTGAATAAATGCTACTCGGGTGCTAGCTGTTGTACACAAGAGTAGTAGATACCCATTTAGTGTAAGATAATATATTTTTTAATATTTCTCTCTATTGAGGGAAAACCTTTATAGACTTAATATACAATATGTCCTTTTGAGTGGACCACAGCACCAAGACTTTACCTAAAATTTCTGTGTATATTTTACTGTCTATCTCTATTTTACCTTAGTTTATCTTGTTTGCAAATCATGTGATGCTATATCTAGTCTACTGTGTGTACAAAAGACTAATATTTACACGGTGAAGGTAAGATTACAGGGCCTAATTTTAGTTGGGGGGATCGACAGCTCTTAATAAAATGCACACTACACAACTTAATTGCTTTTTGACATCTCTGCAGAGTTGCTGGCAAAAGAAATTGGATTATGAGATGAATATTGCTCATGTTCACCTGACTGTAACCCCTACCACAGCACAAGGCACCCACAGTACATGCTAGTCAATGTCCGTCTACTGAAATAAAAATGGTCAGAATCAGCTGAGTATTCAGTCCATCGGCCTCAGTGGGTGAAAGCTCTAGCACACATGCCCACACGAGATCTAATCAGGACCCTTGCGCGCTTTACACTGGCCACATTCACATGGGAATCAATGCTAATTAAACTGCAAATGGAAGTAATTAACACTAGATTCACCTCCAGGCAAAAATGAGCGGTGATCAACAAAGCGTTACTGTGTAACATTTTTGAGCTGTACAAGATGTCGATCAGTGGGTCTGCAGAGCTTCATCATAAAAACGAAGCCTCTCTTGTCTGTTCCATTCTACGTGTCAGACGAGCATCTGGTTTCATTAACATCATAAAATCAGAGTTGACACACTAAAAGCTTGATGGAGATTTAAAAAGACACATCAGTTACATCATCTCATGAAAGAGGGAGAATGCTCAGGCTGAGAATGACAAACTTCATACCTGGTATTCATTAGGCCAAAAGGTGCTGACAGCCAGTTCAACCTGGTGCCACTGCTTGCCATGAGTCCCCGATGTGTTCCACACCGGATTGCCGAGCGGACCGCCGTTGACTCGCACGTATGCCTGCAAGGCCCCAGGACTGTGGCCATCGCGACTGTAAAGGAAGTAACTGAACTGGACGCAGTGTGTGTCATTTTCACTCAACGTCTGCAGCAGCAGCTGAGCACGATGACCCACGGCATGCTGAGAGGAGTTCACCAACATGTAGGATCCTGAAAGGAGCAGAAAAAAAGCATCAGTTATTCCAACTTTACTGGTCACCACAACAGTTTATCATTAAGGTGTTTGATTTCATTTTATTTGCTGCAATCCAGGAAAAACTTCAGGAAACAACTCATGTTCAAAATGCCAAATATTAAAAGTTTTAAAAGTCAGTACAATTGGTTTAGAAGCCAATCTATGAATATGACTATGACCTTCTCTAAAAATGAGAGCATTTAAAGGAAAACAAGTGTGCATTGAGTATCAGGTAGAAGATTTATGTATCAAAGAGCTGTATCAGGAGATGATGCTCAATATATTATTAAGCCAAGAGAAATCCCAAAATCTTTTCTTAGGTTAAGCTTGAATGACAGAAGATGTGATTGAATATAAAATAAAATGCACAATGATCAATATAGTAAAAAAGACAGAATGTGCATACCTTAAAAATATTCATTTATTTCCACTGGTCTTTACTGTATATTGTGAATAGATAGATGAGTGATAAATTGAAGGAAAAACCTGAATAAATGAGTGGAGAAACATAATGAATGCTGGTGTGGGTGGGTCCATTTGTTCCTTTAGATCGCTGCAAATGAGAACAGGGTTGTTCTGAATGATCTCCTTTATCCTGTGATGAAACATTTCTGTGCTGATGGGTCTGAGTGGTCTCTCCCAGGATGACAGTCCATAGGGCACAAGGGGTCACTGAATGGTTTGATGAAAATGAAGTGAATCATATGCTATGGCGTTCACATTCACCAGATCTCAACCCAGCTGAACAGCTATGGAGGGTTTGGACCGATGTGTTAGACAGCGTCTCCCAAACCATTATCAAAACAACCAACTGAGGGAGTGTCTTTAGGAAGAATGGTGTTCACCCCTCCTGAGTCCAGAGACTTAGAGAATCAAAGAGCACTGAAGCTGTTCTGGTGACATGTAGTGGTGTTTTCCTTTAATTTGTCACCTGTCTGTACCTATAGCAGTTTTTTCAAAAGTTTCTAGATTTGTAGGCAATTGGTGCAGGGTTACATTCAAGCCACTGAGGGATCTGTGTTAAGCAGACTCACAGTGAACCAAGGCAAATATGCCACAAAGGCATAAATCTGCTTTTAACCGCTTTTAGTAGGGTGAATCCATTGGAAGAAAAATTAAGGTATTCTCCAGAAACTCTGTGTGTAGGTTGATAACAGGAAAAGAAATGTGCCTGTTGAATAAAAGAAGACTCAGTCTGTGCTGGTTAGGGCACCAGTTCCTGCGAATACAGGAGAGATGGAAGAAAAAGCTGCCAGACTGAGTGAGAGTAATAACCAATGGCAGTTTTCCCTCTGCAAGGTGACGCTAAGGTAGGAAACAAGATTCACAAAACCCCCCAAAGCCTCCTCTAATCAGGATAACATAACCCCATTGCCCTTTGCCTAGCATCTGTCCTGCTTTGAGTCTGTGCCCGCTAACGTGATTAGCACAACAATGTTGAGAGACCTTCCTGTGTACTCACATAATCAAGACTGTTGTCTTTGGACTCCAAGGTCTTTCTGTTCTCGGTCAGAAATTAGCCTGGGAGACCAGACAGTCACAGCCTTGGCGCCAGGTGTCCTGAAGACATTTATTCTCCACTCAGATGTAATAGACTGTGAATGTTGAATTGCCAGACATGAAAGAATTCTTTACATCCTACACTCTCTGAACCTCTAAAGTGGGACACATACCTGACTAAAGAACACACAGTAGACCCCTAAATGTCCTCACACCCTCTACACAACTCACTGTACAAGCATGAGTGCTAAAAGTTGTGAGCACAGAAGAAAAGTAGCTTTTGTCTCTCTCTTAATACACTAAGACACCTGATGGAGTCATCTGGTTCTCCACCAGCGCCACCCAGCTTCTGAGAAAACACAAAACAAATCAATTCACAGGCTGATGTTTTATATACGTAATGAGTTTACAGTATAAAGACAGTTCATCTCAGGACCATAGAGAAGTAGGGTTGGTCATTAACTGGAAGCTAGAGTCTGATCTTTGTCTGGTCTTGGACTGGGGATCTCAGTACTCTGGTTTTGCTTTGCTTAATTAGATATTTCAGAGTACACCTCCTCTTCCCCTGCACCCACCCAGCCCCACAGAGGGCTCATAAAATAGCACAGTCAGGGGAAGCTACAGCCATGCTGTCCTCACAGCTGGCTATATTCTGGATCTGTATCCCTTGTTTTATATATAGACATGATTAACACCTTTCTGTTGACTCTGCAAGATAATATAATGTCACATCAGAACACACACTGCTGCCCTTTAGTCTCCTTTGAGATTCAAATCAAAGACAGGTGAGGGCATATATTTAATCAGGTATGTAAGTGCATTTGAAGCATGAAAATGTCCATGAATTAAACATTATGACAAATTAAATTGAGGTCCTGGACACATTCTGTGCAATAATAATAATGTAGTTATCCTGATATATTGTGAGATCATCCACAGCAGCCCAACTGATATGGACATTACTTTTCATTTCAAGTCTTGCTTCCGCAGTCAACAACGTTGATTTGACTGATACCTTTTGCACAAATCAATTCTACCACAGACATCATATTTCTTTAATAGTCTTCCTTTTGATATTTTCTTTTTTTCATGTTTTCATTTTAGATATACACTAGAAAATAAATTAAAAGTCATGAGATCAAACTGTAGTGTTTGGTGCTATGATGTATGTCCCACCCGACACATAGGACAGCGCCTTTCATGAATTATATTCCAAAGCGCAGTGAAATCTGATAACGTTCCATTCATCCATTGATGCACCTCCCAAGGGCAAAAGAATGCCCATAACAAGATTATGAGTGATCCAGCACACCATAATTCACATGGAGCACTGCCAGAGTACAACCCACTGTAGTCACAGGCTGTAGGTGACAGTACTGTATCTGTGGTGAGCTACGACATTAAAGGGGGGTAAAAGAGTGAAAACAACATTAAAGCAGAACAAAAGGCTAAAGAATTATTTTTCTAACAGTTCTCCTTCTGTGTATACATGTGCTGAGCCTTTCTCTGCTGGACCCATTCAGCACACCTTTGTTCCTCTGAAAAAGCCAGAGTTCAAGTAATCTCAAACACACATGAAACTATAGGGGCCAGAGGTCTGAATATAATGGCATCAATGGCTGTGTTAGGGTTTTAGAAGCGACCTTGATGCTGCTTGCTGTGCCATTACTGTTAGTCTGAGCCCTGGCCACTCTCAGCACATCAGCCTTGATGCTCAGGCTCTTTCAATCTGCCCTGTGCTCTATTCTAAGAAGGTCATGTGGGATTTCAGACTCACTCTCTGAGGGTCTGATGTCCCCCAGCTGTTTACTTATCCTTGTTTGCAATAACCTTCAGCACAAATAAATAAGTAAATTAAAAAAACAGAGTGCAAAATTAGAGAAAGCTCTGGCCATTGGCCTAAAAGGTGCATTAGTGTTGTTTTTCCTGGACGTTTGGTCTCACTCAGAGAAAAAACACCTCACAAATGTAAAAAAAAAAAAAAAAAATGAAATTGTTCATACAGACAAACAATTTCAGTAGAAGAAACTGCAATCACAGCGACTTGTCGCTAACGCCAGACGTTAATGTGTTTATTACCCATCACTGACAATAGAGTTCTTCAGATTCTTTGGTGTGTTTTGCTTGAACAAATGGATAATTCGAGGCAAGCCTGGCGAAAATAACATGGATTGTGGCTTTGATATAAGGAAACCCATTGAGAGGATGGACAAGTTTCCTTCCTAATGGAAGAACTCATACAGAGACAACACAATAATAAGACATCACACAGACTTAATCCAGTTACAGCAATGGCACGCAATGACAGGGCTCCTACTAGGAAGCAGTAGGCTGACTTTACACTCAGAAAGCAAAGCAGCAGTTTCCACTATAAAACACAACAGCGATTTTGTCAAAGCATTTTGCCAAAGCATTACGGGTGTTTTCACTGTCAATACTTTCTTTAGATTCAATTTTCAAATGATGTTTTTTCTTTTACATCATTTATTCTGACAGTCCAGCAAATGCCTGAAAATAATTCCTGCTCATTTATAATTCATTTTACATCATCTTCATATAAACAAAAGATTAAATAACCACATGCATGCACTCAAATAATGAACCCCGAGCGAATCGTCACCCGACTCTAGTTCCCCTTTTTAGCCTTTTTCAGCTCATTGTTTTGTTTTGTTGGCCCATAACTTTGTGACCTAGCCTTTTTCAGCTCATTGTTTTGTTTTCTTGGCCCATAACTTTGTGACCTTGCGAACTGTCTTCCAGGCAGCTCAGGATCAACTGTCACATATGCCCAGGAGAGAAGTTGACACATGAGAAAAACAGAGGAAAGATGATGTACACTTTGTGTATGACACAAGTCGATTTGTCTTAATGAGTCAGAACTCCAGAAAGCCTCTCAGTCATTCTGTGACTGTAACAACAGGTGTACAAACACATGATAAATGCTGATCATCACAACTTCTGTGAAACACAAACATTATTTTGGACCATGTCCAAAATAACTCATAACTTAATGATTTCACACAACGTTCAGTAATAGTTTAGTCTTTAGGGAGCAATAACTTACTCGCTTGACACTGAATCATTCTCATTTATTTGACAGCAGTGTCACACACATCTGTATTCATTTTAAAATTCTTTTACTGGCTGTTAAAGCACCGACCGAATGCTTCCAGTGTATGAACCAGGACAGCCTCTCAGGTCCCCAGGCACAAGTCTTTTAGTTGTTCCAAAGTGCATGACAAAACTTTTGGCAAGGCAGCTTTTAGTTTTTATGCAATGAGCTGTTAGAACAGTCTGCCTGAGGAACTGAGAGCAGCTGAACACGCTGATTGATGTTGATCTGTCTAGTCTGGCTTTGATTAGAATATTTTACATTTTATTACCTCTGCTAAGTGTTGGATGGAGCCAGCCTAGCGGGCTAGTTCCCAGTCTTTAAGCTAACCTAACCGGCTGCTGGTTGGAGCTTCATTTCAGC